ATTTAAACGCGTGCAAACGCGTGAATAGGATTTTAAAATGATAAAGGTTGCGGAAAGTTTTCTTCTCAGAGAGATATTTTTCTTCGAAGAGTATCGTGAAAAAATGTTTCTTTCAATTCATTGGTTGAAATAGAATTTGTGTTAGAAAATATTATTAGGATAAACGGTGGATGAATTTTTTATACTTCTTTTATTCTTATGATTTTTATAGTATTCTATTTCTATTATTTTTATCGTACGAATTTTTTTTCAAACATCTTTCGTTTACTTTTTCGTGTTTTTTTTTTTATTGTATCGAATTTTCTAGATTTCTTTTTTACTATTTTATCTTGAAGTAATGTCGAGTAATCTCGAAGTAATGTCCAATTCAAAGTTAAAATTGAATATGACTTTTTGAAAAATATATTTCGCGTGTAAAAATAACACGAAATATTTAAAAGCACAGGTGATAAACAGAGTGTATAAAAATTATTGAATGTTTCATGGCTACAATATTTGAATTGTTGTATGTTGTACGTAGTTACATATTATTAATTGTCGGAGAACATGAGAATAGGAATCCTATTCAAACCACTGTGTAATTAAGCTTGTTTGAAATTTGAGTTAATTCCAGGTCTCTGATTTAGTATTGTCTGCTGGTTTCTGTTCTCGTTTCTCTTATCTTTGATGAATCAACTAGTTTGTTGCAACTAATTAAACTGCGTTAAACAATTCTTATTTTAACGCATGACATCAACTTCATCAACTTCCTTTTAACATTCTATTATTTAAAAAAAAAATTCCATAAAATAAAGACTATTATTATTATTAATAAATTCCCATTACTTCACACTTACACATTCAATTAAATGAAGACAACGTAACAAATTTTCTTTCCGATATTCTCAAATTTGTTCAACTTCGAATTTTCTTATCCACAGATCATCAACGATCTATCCCAGAATTTTCATCGTTCGAAAACGAGGATCCTTAAAAGAAGGAGAGAACGCCTCAGCAATAAAACAAAAATAAAAAAAAAAAAAAATCCTACAAAACCGTGACGACCTCGAACGTCCACGCGACTCTAATCGCATAAATCCAGTTAACATCGAGGAATCTCATCCCTTTGGAATTTCTTCTTCTTTCGTCCACGCGCCCGCGCCCCCCTTCCAAGCCTGTCACCGCCAATTCCCATAGGGTGCAGCGCAGAAATGCCCTCCAGAAATCATCCTAGTCGCTTAATTGAATCGCTGACTTTGATGAATATCGGCTCCGACCGTCGCGCAAGGGGCACTTTATTTTCTCCCTGCCTGTTCCCCCCTCTCCCTCCGTGTTCCAGGCCAACGGAATCCCGCACCTTGTCGTCGATGCCGACTTCTTGCATGCTCGTTCGCTCGTGTAATTACGAGGCCGCCGCTCGTGGACCGCGAAACGTGGACCGGAATCGAGCCGAGTTATCCTATCCAGTTTTGCCTAAATGAAGGGGGGGTTCGATAGACAGAGGGATTATGGCGGAGGAAAATGGGCATGGATATGTATAACCCAGCTAAGGAAGTTTTGGGACGATGGTCTTAAATTTTATGGGTTCGAAGAAGATATCTTTCCGCGAGAATTCATGATTTCTAATGGCGGATGAAGATGATCTTTAGCGTTGGTCAGCGACATTTTTAAACCGTTGAAGAACCGCGAATTCGATCGACAAACGAGCGCAGAACTTTTTTTCTTTTCTTCGAATAGTATTATATAAGGAAGATTATAAAAATGGACGTGTGTACAATCTCGAATTTTTCATTCGATCCGACAACGTTTGAAAGTGTGTGTAATTAAGAGACAACAGGGGGGGAGGAGCAACAGTAAACAGGTTGAACGTACGAAACAATTAAATTTCCAAGCTACGATTTCCATTGTTCGTGTGATTCAATGAGCCGTTGTCGAGAGCTTCTTCCTCGTCTTGTTCGTGGAACGAACAATTCGTTTGGGGGAAGGGATAAATTAACTTACGAAATACCGTTCTAAAAATGAATCGAATTCCGAACGAAAGAGAGCTCGAAGAAATACGCGTGGCGAATAATGGGATTCTGCTCTGGCAAGGCACTGAATGAAAAAAAAAAGGGGAGGAGAAAGAAAAGGAGAGAGAGAAAAAGAGAGAGAGAGAGAGAAGGGAGGAGAAGGAACGCCTAAAGGTATTTTCACCGCCGTTGTAATAGCATTGTAAGCTCAAAGCTTCTTGGCTATCTTGTTTGAGATCTCCGTGAAGATGGACAACGATTTTCAACGGTGCAAGCATTATCTCGATTCGTAAAACACGGGACCGGTCTGCTTATTTTCCAGGGTAACTCCAATATTTGCGGAAGCTGAGTGTAAAAGGGTTGGACGATCCATTGCTAGGAAGGAAAACGCGTTACACCAAAGAATGGCGATGTTTTCGAGTGAAGAAAGGGAAAGAGAGATAAAAATCGAGTGTACGAGTGACTATCCTCGTTGTTGGCGAGTTGATTAATATTCGTCGTTAAACTGCCCTCCTCGTAAAATTACTTTCCGACGTTGAACAGCCGCGTAATTGCGTATGCTGTATAACGACGGACTTTCGTTTTATTTTTTATCCTCTGTCCCTCTTTCTCTTACTCCTTTGTCTCTTTCTTCTTTCCTCTTCTTTCCTCGCGAGAGGAAAAACGTTTCTTTAATTGTTGAACTGCGCTAAAAGAGAAATGCGGAATTTTTAGTATCGTAGTATTCTCGTTTTAAATAGAAGAATATGTAATGCGACTTGGCAATAAATTTGAAGGATTATTTCTGCAGATTTTGTTATTATGTAGTTTTCATTGAAAACATAATTACGTTGAATAACATTTATAAGATGATATGAAATGATATATTCATGTTATAAAATATAATATAAAAATTGACGTTCTATCAATAATTTTCTTAAAAGGATTTGTAAATTTTCGAGGAATCTCAAATAATAAAAGATAAAATGATTTATATCATTAGGAAGGAAAAATAAATTTTTCATTTTATGAGATAATAAAAATTTAATCAATATTTCTATTTAGGAAATTATCTTTTTCAATAAATCAAATTTTAAATATAAAATTATAGAATTTGAAGTAAATGCATAGAAAATTCTAATAACTTTTAACAAAAACTAATAAATTAATATCCAATCTTTAAGATACTTAAAAAATCTTTAAGAATTTACTTTGCATTTAATGATAGATAAGCATTTTCTTTGTACTTTAATTGTTATTATTTTGAAACATTCTTTTTTCTTTCGTTCTTTCTTATCCTATAGACCGTAAAAGTTAAAACGAATAAACTCGTCTGATGTTAGACATGAATGAAAGTCTCAGGTATTAGGTGCATGAATAAATATTGGGTGTTTGGAATGGTGTAAAGAGATAAAGTAAGTATGTACATAGGATATGTGGTATAGAATACATATTGACTTAGAGCAAACAAGAGCATGATGTGAGAGTGTTCCTTTTAAAAAATGTAATCTACGTAATCTATCAATCTAAGGATTAGACTTGAATTGACTAGTTACGGGCTAAGAACTGACCTGATGAAAAACATAGGAAGAACAGGAAGAATAAAGAATAATGAATAAAGAATAAATGAGACTAAACAACTAATAAAAAAAAATAAATTATTATAAATAATTAATTGAAGAACTTCTTTCAAGGAACAAAGAAAATCGTTTTGCATGAATTACATATTGGAATATAATAAGTTTAAATTACAAAATGGAGTTCTATATCGAAGAAAATTTTTTTTGCTTCTCATCACTCGAAGAGATAAGAACACCGATATATTTCCCTAATTCTGAACCAATTCAAATCAGGTAAATAAAGATTTTCGATTCGGTGATATCGAGGAAGATTTCATGGCGAGTTTCGAAAAGAAAGAGGAAAGGATGTCGAAATTCAAACACGTAAAATTTTGTTGCTCAAGATGTTGCAATTCATCGTCGCACGGTGATCTCATCCGCGGCGGATTGCAGTCGCATTCAGAGAAGTTTATCTCC